AAAAGATTTTTCTACAGGTCAAACTAACACTCCCCTTTTGGCCTTTGCTCTGTCGTGTTCTTCCTACTTAGAAGGTGAATTTGAAGGTGCAACTATCTTCTAGCCATGTGTGACAGAAATGCTTCAAGAACAGTGTAACAGAAGGAAGAAGACGACGTCACTAAAACACGGTTTTCAGTGCTGATTATTAACCATAATTTATTTAATCTTATAGTAGGTTTCTGTTAAATGCAACTGAATACAATTTTAACTATTAGAAGTAGAAGCCAAATTTGAATGTATTTCCCTAATTCTGTTTTTAGCTTTTCTCTCTGTTTCCATTCTATTGTTTTTATTCCTACACTAACACTATAATTAATTAATATGTAATTCATACAGATTATGTACATGTATTTTTTAGTATCTGGAAAGACATAACCTTATCCCATGTTCTTTATCCAATTTTTCATAAACTTTTATGCTTTCATTTGATTATTAAATTTATTATTTTGTCATATTTCATAAATAATCCTTAGATGTGATACATATTAAACATTATTGAATGTTTATCTGTTTTGTTTTTGTATCTAAAGTGATCAGGTTGTTCCCAGGTTTAGTGTAGCAAATTACAATATCAGATGATCTACTTTGAATGGTCTTGAATCACAGAACTAATTGGTCATGGAGTACTTTTTACTTTTAATGCATTTTGATAAAATATATAAAATTGTACAGCCCTGTTTATGACTAACATTAGATTGTGGTTTTCTTTCTTTTTCTATCATTTTTTGGCACAATACCATGGTTATTTAGGTCTCAGGAAGTGATTTGGGTATTTTTCCATTGTTTTCTCTGGAATATTTTGTATAAGTTGGGAATTATCTGTTCTTGAACGTTTGGCAGAACTTGTTCATAAACTATTTAGGTGTTATGTGTAGGCTTAGCTCTTCAACTTCAAGGGTAGAATTTTTATTTAGAATGCATCCTTCAAGCATCTTATATAATAACAATTTCAATGTTGTTAAGTTGCTGATTTTACCATTTATACTTCATAATTCCCAGATAAACAAAATAAAATGATTAAGTAGATATAAATTTTATGGATTAACATTTGTTAATAAAAGATAGCATTGAGTTTTTGAGTTTAAGTAATAAAAGGAATCCCTTATCACAAAGTAGAATTTCTTTTAAGAAAGTATTTTTTTATTTTATTAGTCCTTTCTAAGGAAAAGTACAAATTCTAAATTTTATTTATAACTGTCACAATATGTTTAAAATAATACTGATTTAATGGTGATAATATTGAAATCATTGAGTACCCTGACAAAGAAAGAAAAATGTAAATTTTAGTATTATATAATATCTTACAATATTATTTCTTATGATTATAGACATTTTCTATAAATGCAATTTTGAATCAATAACAGACAAATGACCTATTGCTTCTTAAAAAAGTAGGCACCTCTTTATCTTCTAAAAATACTGAGCACAAAAACACATTTTATATCCAAAGAACAAGCATATTCATAGTTCAAATATTCAACCTATTATTAGTAACACCATTGAAAGTCACTCAGTCTTGTCTGATTCTTTGTGACTCCATAGACTAAACAGTTCAGGGAATTCTCCAGGCCAGAATACTGGAGTTGTGACCTCCAGGGGATCTTCCCAACCCAGCGATCAAACCCAGGTTACCCACATTGCAGGCAGATTCTTTACCAGTTGAGCCACAAGGGAAGCTATTAACACTATTACCAGGACTCTTAAGAGCTTTGAAGGTAAAAATTCTCATTTTGAATATATTTCATAGTAATATTTCATATAGCATTGTATTCATCCAAAATTGAAAAGCCATACATTTAGACAATCAGAATCAATGATAATCATTCACTTATCTGGGGGATTTTTTTTCAAAAATAAATACATGTATTGGTATGGACTGAATTGCATAATATATTTGATGAAGCCCTAACTTCCAATGTGATGGTGTTTGAAGATGGAGCCTTTGGAAGAAAATTTGATCATGAGAGTAGAGCCCTCTCAATGGGCTTGCTGCTGCTGCTGCTGCTGCTAAGTCACTTCAGTCGTGTCCGACTCTGTGCGACCCCACAGACGGCAGCCCACCAGGCTCCCCTGTCCCTGGGATTCTCCAGGCAAGAACACTGGAGTGGGTTGCCATTTTAATGCTCTTATAAGAAGAGATGTGAAAGACACGACCTCTCTGTCATGTGAAGACACAGCCAGAACGTGGTCATCTCCCAGCCCAGAGGAGGATACTCACCAGTCGCTGAATCTGGTCTGCTGACACCTTGGTCTTAGATTCTCAGCCTTCAGAATCGTGAGAATGTCAGCTGTCTAAGCATCCAGTTCATCAGCCTGAGCTGATGAGGGCAAACATTCTCAGAACACCCTCCTCACATGCACGAGCACATACACACTCACACTCCATAATACATGATCGGAAAGCACCTCAAACTCAATATAGCTTTAAATTAGATAAATTTTATGTTATCAAGGCTAACATCCCTTTGTCTGTATTTGAAAATCAATTGATCTAAATTAAATTGAAGTCATAATCAATAATATTTCAAATAAGCAAATTTAAAGCCCAAAGAGAATTTTATAATGTTTACAATAAAAAAAAGCCCAAATTTATTTTTAAAAGTCCATACAAGAGTATCAGACTGTAATAATTTAAGTCAACTTAATGTTTTTAAGTAACCTATTATATACATTGACCTGCATTCCCAGGACACACATTTATAATAAGTGTGATATGTAATATATAAGTAACAGGGGTGAATGGTATCATAAATTTGCCCCCAAAACTAGTTTATTTGAAAGTCCTTAAAAATCCAGTAAATATTATGATTATGTTTTAATTTTTGTTTGTTTTACTTTAAAAGATATCAATAGCTTCTTTTTTTTTTCTTCTTCTTCTTCTTTTTTCTTTTTTTTTTTTTCCATCAATAGCTTCTTATACAGAAACATTTTTAAAAAGTTAACTCTTTCCTTTTCAGCTCATCATCAAGGTTTATTGTCTCTTTGTTTTGTTTCATTTTTAAACTGTAGAACTAACTGCATAGTATGTAAAAAAAAAAAAATTAAGGACCCAGGAAAGTCAAGTTTTTCTATGGATGCTTTGCAGTATCCATCATTATATTCTATTACGTGGGTGTTAGTCATTCAGTCGTGTCTGACTCTTTGTGACCCCATGGACTATTGCTTGTCAGGCACCTCTGTCCGTGGGATTCTCCAGGCAAGAATACTGGAGTGGATTGCCATTTCCTTCTCCAGGGGATCTTCCTGACCCAGGGATAGGACCCGGGTCTCCTGCATTGCAGGCAGATTCTTTACCATCTGAGCCACCAAGAAAGCACTGAATTACTTAAGTATAAATAATTGCAAATTAAAAAAAGCAAGAAACTTCCAAACTTATCTTGCAATATTGCTTTAAAGCAACCACTTTTAAACTGAGAGGAAAAAAATCTCAGATTTATGCTCTTTTACTGACATTTTTTCATATTTGACATGGTAGCAAGTTGTCTCACTTGGGTGCAATACATATCTGTGGAAAAGGTATTTTTTATTTTCTCAGACTTACTAAGTTTATTAATTTAATTTTTTTTTACATTTTTAAACTTTTTCCTAGACCTTACTGGTTCTAGAATACATATTACAGGGAGAGACTTCCTGGGTAGTCTTGGGGTATGGCTGATTGACAAACAAGTTTATGACAGTTTCAGCTGAACAGCAAAGGGACTCAGCCATCCACATACCTGTATCCATCCTCCTCCAAGCTCCCCTCCCATCCAGGCCACCACATAACACTGAGCAGGGTTCCCTGTGCCCTGCAGCAGATCCTGTGGTTATCCATTTTAAATACAGTAGTGTGTACATGACTATCTCAACTCCCCAACTATCCTTCCCCCCATCTTTCCCCCAGGCAACCATAAGTCCATTCTCTAAGTCTCTCAGACTTACTTTAAAATAGGGAAACATGAGGCTTGGAGATTCTTAGGATTACTTAAATAATAGATCTGAGTTTTATCAGTTAAAGCCTCCTTATTTTAAAATCAGGTTTTCTTACCAATAAATCTGCAAGGATTCTCAGAAAGACTCATTAGCTCCTTCTTGCCACTGAAGCTGGTGAAAATGAAGTAGCTGTTCCTCACAGAGGGTGGGATCTCTGGGCTTGGTTTCCACGTGGAAGATTGGGCTACATGAGACTTGAGAAATGAGGGTTGTTTGAATGAATTTCAAGGTTATTCCAAACACTGAATGAAATGTAAAGTTTTTTTTCTTCTCAGTCCATCATCAAAGATTTTTGTTCCCATATTTTGTTTTTAAACTGCAGGTCTAAAGGCATAGCGTTGGAAAAAAATTGAAAAAGACACCCCTCCCCCCTGCCCACCACACACACACAGTCAGAGAGAGAGAGAGAGACACAGAAAGAAACAGAGAGAAAAAGACAGGCAGAGGACAGACAGAGATGGAGCTGACACCCCTTCATCATCTTTGGTGAGTTTCTCGCAAGGCCCGCTTCCCGGCCTGTGATTACTTCCTCCTAAGAGTGAGATGCAATGTGACAAGAACAATTTACTCCTGTGAATAACAGCTGAAGGCAGGCACTTAGCTCCCTTATCTACAACAGGAAAACAACAGTGCATTCTCTTTGCAATTTTGGTAGTTTGTTTATTTCAAAGTTATGCTAATTTAATTCCTGGTAAGATTGCACAGGTTTCTTCTTTTGTGAATTTCCTTTTTTATTTTTTGCATTTTTTTTAAACTGTTGTTTTAGTGGTTTCAATTTCTTCGAGCCACAAACACCATTAAATTCTTATTACTTGCCTGATGCTGTGCTAGGTTTTGCCTGTGTGGGTTTGCTGGGGACCAGGGTCCAGCCTCTGAGAAACACAAATGGAAACTGGCTGCGGTCCTCAGAGAAGCCTTCAGACAGTGACCCTAATCTGACATCCCCGGGAAAGAAAGTGGTTGGGAGTTAGGTTGAAGACTCTGACCACGATCCCAGAGCTGATCATCTAGATAATGCCAACAAGGATCTCCAGGACCCAGACAGCTGGTCGAGGTGTCACAGGGGGCAGGTCCTGGCGTCAGCTCCATGCTGAGAGCCTGGCTCTGCCCTGAGGCTGAGGCAGCCCCCAGGGACCACCTCTGGAGGTGACTCAGAGATGTGAGTTTGATCCTGGAGTCAGGAAGATTCTCCTGGAGAAGGAAATGGCAACAACCAGTATGCTTGGCTGGGAAAATCCCATGGACAGAGGAGCCTGGCGGGCTACAATCCATGGGGTGACAGAGTCAGACACACCTGAGCCTGCATGCCACGTCACACCAACCTTAGACCCGGATTCTCCCAATGCCCATCCTTCACTTTCTTGTTCTGACTACAGCTGTATTCCTAATACCCACATCTTCTTAATTGCTCATCACAATTTGATTGATTACAGTTGGAGAAGTCCTGATGATTCCTCAATTTGATGGGGTGAGGGGGCCCAACTGGAGGAACAAAATTCATTTCTAGCGGAGTCATAGATTTCCCAAAAAAGAAAGCTGAAAACATAAATGAATGTTACATTTCTAAACTGTCTTTGATATCAGGGTCTAAAGCTCTTGGTAGAGAAAGATTGAAAAATATTTTGGTTTCTAATTTTTCCATGCCAAGCTGAAGTTACATTTGTCTTTATGTCAATCAAAGTTATACTCATTCATGAATTCTTTCTTTCATCTGTTTATTGTTTTTCCAAGCAAAATGTTATTAGGCAGCAACTAAGTGTTAAATTAATTTTTTAGGTGTCAGGGATTAGAAGATAAGTAACATTCAGTCTCTGTCATTAAGAATCTCCAAGTTTGGTGAAAGACATAGACACATAGAGAGACTATTATTATTAGACACAGACACATAAAGAGACTGTTATTGGGTTTCCCTGCTGGCTCAGTGGTAAGTAATCATATGTTGGATTCCTGGGTCCAGAAGATCCCCTGGAGAAGGACATAGTATTCATTCAGTATTCTTGCCTGGAGAATCCTGTGGACAGAGGAGCCTGGTGGGCTACAGTTCATGGGGTCACGGAAGATTCAGACACAACTTAGCAACTAAACAGTAACAGTTATGAATATTACTATTATATGGGAAAGCCAGTGATAGAGATATGGTTAGTTGCCATAAGGCTATATACTAAGGTCAGATTCCCCAAATTGAAGGATGTGGTTAGAAACTCTACCTTAAAGAAAATGTCACCGGTTACTTTTGGTGTGCTTAGCTTAAACACAGGGATGTGTGAAAGCAGCAACATTTGTGAAGGGAAAAGCCAGAGAATGATCTAATCCTGAGCGTCTTTCAAATTCTTAACATATGGCACTCACAGCACACCCCCTCAGTTTCACCAGATATGATCCCAAAGAATGAACTCAGAAAACTTGGATTCTGGAAACGGCTCTGTGCCTCTCTTCTGCTGGGGGTCACAGGATTCGGTCAAGCCTGTGAGGTGATGCTGACTAGCTTTGGCAGTTTATAAAACAGAGCCCACTTAAAGATAATAGAGATTAATGCTCATTTTGCCTAACATAGTTGTAAAAATACAAATTACGACATGATATTTTAAAAGTGTATAGGTACCATGAACAAATTTGCAAATTTGTATAAAAAACAGAAAATTCTTATTTTTCTGCAGTAGCAAGGCATGCTTTCTTGCCAGAATATGAATATTTTCTCTCTGTTTGAAGATCTATGTCTAATCACAGTTATCAAATTTTTACCTTGTGGTTTATGATATGAGCAACTGGATATTTTAAGTTCAATTCTAATTGAGATATTGGATGACATTTGAAAAAAAAGAGTAAAATCAGTTACTATTCTGTCAGAAAAACTGTCCAGTGTTTTCCTGTTGATAAATCCAGACAATTAAGTTGTTTCTTTGTGTATTTCAGACGACTCTGGTACCATCAAGGCTCTTGTAAAATGTCTGATTAGTTTTATTACATTTAACCTCTTACCAGGGAGCAGTTATGCCCTAGTACTAGAGCAGGAGGAAGCATTGAGCTCTTAGAAGAAAATTCTCTTCTCTGAAGTTTTGGAGATTAAACATGTTCTTGTCACAATGACTGAGAAACGGCCTTTTTTATGTTCTTCCTAACAGCTTCAAGAGATGTTTGATTCTCTAAAATTGAACAAAAGGGAGCCTAAACATCATCTTTCTCTCTCCTGTCTCATTATGAGTTTCTCTGACTTTCCAACGTGTTCTTCAGGATCTTCAAATTAAAGTCAAACTAATGTCTAGCATGTCATATGATCAGAGAGCTAGGACTCTTCAATGTTCCCATGGACTAACACTCCAGCCCACAATTAGACAATCTAGGAAAGACTGATTTTTAACCTGAGTCCCTTAAAGTTGGTGTTGAAAAGTCTCATTTTATTATTACTTTAAATTGTATACGTGATTGTATTCATCCTAAGAAGTTCAGAGGGAGAGAGTTTCACCCTCTGTAAACTCAGATGTCATCACATAGAAATTTTTACTAGCACTTTCCCTAACCAACTTGGGTCATTTTTTTAGAAGATCTTTTTCTCACGTCCACCCTGTTTCCTCAGTATGGTTTGCCTGGATCTGTAGTTTCTCGGTGGAGGTTTTCTGCTGCTGTTGCATTTTTGCTTATACAGCAGGCATCCATTCCACAGGGTAGCAGAGTGGAAATCAGAATGAGCAGAGAATCGAGAGCAGCCCTGGCTTTGTCATAAATAGCCATGCCCTTAGGCAAAACATTTAGCTTAGGTTTATATGCCAAGGTTGGCGCATTATGAAGGTTATTTTGTTTAACTTCTTATTCAAACATGAATCAGCTGTTCTTGTTTTCCTCAGCGGCAAGTTAACTTGAACAATTGTATTTATGGCATAAGAAAGCTGGGGGAGCTGGAATAAGATGCTGCGTGCAGAGCTCTCAGGGTGATGCCTGACACCTAAAGAGTCTCTCACACGTGTTAGACATTGTACTGTGGTGAGGTGGAGACGGGGCATGCCCGCATCTAGGCAGTCAGGAAGGATGAGGATGTGGGTAAGATCACCCAGGAAGAGCGTGCAGAGTCAGCCAAGACCCCAGAATGACACAGGCTGATTCCCCAGTCGGTGGCTGCTGTGGCTATTTCTACTGAAATTAATAAAATAAAAACTTCAGTTCATCAGTCACACCAGCTGCATTTCAAGTGCCTGGCATTCTCGTGGGTTCAGTAACAGTGTAGACATGGAACATTTTCATCATCACAGAAAGTTCTGTGGGAAGCAGTTATCTAGAAGGTGTTCATTCTTTACATGTAAACTCCTGCTCTATTTTTGAAATTTCTGTAACCTTCAGTGGTGACGAAGATTGGTGAGACAAATGAAATAAATATTTTTAAAATGGTTCTTTTTAAAAATATTTATTTGTTTGCATCAGGTCTTTATTTATTTTTTATTTTTCATTTATTTTTATTAGTTGCAGGTTAATTACTTTACAATATTGAAGTGGGTTTTGTCATACATTGACATGAATCAGCCATGGAGTTACATGTATTCCCCATCCTGATCCACCCTCCCACCTCCCTCTCCACCTGATTCCTCTGGGTCTTCCCAGTGCACCAGGCCTGAGCACTTGTCTCATGCATCCAACCTGGGCTGGTGATCTGTTTCACTATAGATAATATACATGTTTCAATGCTGTTCTCTCGAAACATCCCACCCTCGCCTTCTCCCACAGAGTCCAAAATTCTGTTCTGTACATCTGTGTCTCTTTTTCTGTTTTGCATATAGGGTTATCATTACCATCTTTCTAAATTCCATATATATGTGTTAGTATGCTATAATGTTCTTTATCTTTCTGGCTTACTTCACTCTGTATAATGGGCTCCAGTTTCATTCATCTCATTAGAACTGATTCAAATGAATTCTTTTTAGCGGCTGAGTAATATTCCATGGTGTGTATGTACCACAGCTTCCTTATCCATTCATCTGCTGATGGGCATCTAGGTTGCTTCCATGTCCTGGCTATTATAAACAGTGCTGTGATGAACATTGGGGTGCACGTGTCTCTTTCAGATCTGCCATATGACCCAGCAATACCACTTCTGGGCATACACACCGAGGAAACCAGATCTGCATCAGGTCTTAATTGCGGCATGCGGGATCTTTTAGTCACAGCACACAAGCTCTTAGTTGTGACCTGTGGGATCTAGTCCCCCAACCAGGGACTGAAGCCAGACCTGCGTTGGGAGCGCAGAGTCGTAACCACTGGGCCACCAGCGAAGTCCCTAAAAAATATTTCTGGCCTTTCTGATCATCTAAACCAAAAGATATAGAAGATAATCTACCCAATTGCAATTTTTTCCAGTTTTATTGAGATATTATTGACAAATAGAAACTATTTAAGTTGTACACATGATGTTTGGTTATATATATGCTTTGCAAATGATGGTCACAATCAAGCTATGAACATATCCATTTCCTCACTTAGTTGCCATTTTTTGGTAGTAAGAAGACAAGATCTACTCTGTTAGCAAATTTCAAGTATAAATATACATTATCAACTGCAATCACTCTGCTGCACTTTAGGTCCCCAGAACTTTCATATTATAACTGGAAGTTTGAACACTGCAACTAATATCTCTCATTTCCCCACCATTTAGTCCCTAGTAACTACTATATACTCTGCTTCTGGCAGTTCTAGTTTTTTAGATTCCACATACATGTGAGATCATACAGTATTTGTCTTTCTGCATCTGGCTTATTTCACTGAGTATGGCATCCTCCAGATTCATCCATGTTGTTGCAAACAGATTGTCCCTCTTTCATGTGGTTGAATGATAGCCCAATCTGCATACATACATGTATGCAAATTGTATGTGTATGCATATGTATATGGATATATGCATATGCAGATATGTGTAGATATGTGTATACAGATATATAGATACATATATAGATATAGGTATCATATTTTCTTTATCCATTTATCCATCAGTGAACTTTCAGTTTGTTTCCATGCCTTGGCTGTTGTGAGTAATCCAGTGGTTCATGTTGTTAGTGTCTGGCTTGGCAGTCAAATCAACCCTTTGGGTGACAGCATAAAAACTAGCA